AATCTCGAGGATGCTGGCTTGGTAGTCGCGTACTTCAAAGTCACTTCCTTCAGAAACGAAGCAAGTATACTTCCAAGCCACGGCTTCGGAAAACGAAGAAGAATGGAACAGGCTAATAAGTGTGCCACTCTCTCTAACGGTTTCAACATAAACTGTACCGAAAATAAATACCTCACAATGTCTATCTAATTATGAACTTGCTTTACTTTCACGGAACACATTTTTGGTGATAACAAATGTAACAAAGTAACATATTTACCAACACATGTTCTACACCACTACATACTACTTAAATGTGTGCTGCGTCGGTTCAGCCATTCTCCGCAAGGGTTTTTGAAATTGGTCCGTGCGCAAAGCATTGTGGGGATTTGAAGGACGCAAAGTCTACCCATGTGCAGCCTCGAAATTACCCCGAAACCAAGGACGTGGCCTCGGTGGAATTCCAAGTATGCTGGAGATTGGAACAGTCCTTCGGCGGCACCCGATGACGTAGCATCCTTGAAATATTGGCTTGGAAGCCAGAATCCTCGAGATTGAGAAACGGCCACTGTTCCAATGTCCAGCATACTTGGAATTCTACAGAGCCCGGCGTACTTCGTTTGGAGACATTTCGAGGCTGCACATGTGCAGACTCCGCGGTCTTAAAATCCCCACAATGCTTTGCGCACGGACCAATTTCCACAAATCTGTGGCGGAAAATGTAAGGCGGGGCCTCTCATATGACGCACACTTGCTCACCTGTTCCACTCTTCGTTTTCCGAATGCCAGGAAGTATTCTTGCCTCGCTTCTGAAGCAAGTGACTCGGAAGACATGTGCTACCAAGCAAGCGTACTCGAGATTGAGAAACACCCCAAGAAAGGTTCAAACCAGTGTCATTACTGATGCCATTAGCATGTGCTTAAAACTCAACTTGCTTTTATATAATTTGATGAAGACCAAGAGGTTACATTAATAACACTTAATCAGATGAAAAGCCCAAAACTTTGTGCCTAGAGTCCACAAGCAAAGCCTTTGTTTCAATGCGAAAAAGTACGGAATAACACAAGTAAAGTTTTCAGGGGTGGCCCCAACTTCTTTCGGAGGTGCAATGAATTCATAACAGGTCTTTGATTAGTCGATGCTTGAATAAGAGACAGGGAAAAGGGCATGATTGTGCTGCTTTTTAATGAAAAGCTCACTTTGATGTTCGAGGCATATGTTGATACCATAATTAGAGCATGGTATTTGGATATCTTTGTGGAGTTTATTACAACACATCTCTAGTTTGAGTATGTTTTCCTTTGTGTGACATTTGCCTGCATAGTTCTTCTCCTCCGTTTTGATCTTTTCAACTCTTAAAGAAGTATCTCAATTGGATTTTTTAGTAAACAGGCAACCACCCACAGCCTGACTCTTTCTCCTTGTTGTTATTCAGTACTTTGAAATGTACCAGTCATTCTAAATTAACCGTATGGCTTGCTCTACTCTACTTCTATGTTTATAAAGAAGAAAACGTAGGTCTTTTAAGTTAAACAATGTTTTGTATTGTTTTGTTAACTGCAGTAATCTTTATTTTCCAATGCAGCCTTTTGATTTCTCAAAATGTAATGCATTTTTATGGAGAGTTTTAAAGAGGACATATTAGGATCATTGTCAGGTTCATATTTGTATTACATTACATTACATTATATGTAACTTGTTAGTGGGCAATCCCCACAGGAGCAATTTGGGGTGAAGTGTCATGCCCAGCGACACATCGACATGCTGACTGCAGTGGGACTCGAACTTGCTATCCCCTGATTTGAAGTTCAGCGCACTGTCCACTGAGCCACAGCCTCCCTTATATGCCTCTACTGTGACATGTTAACATGCTTTAATGTTCAAAAGCGTCTGTATGTTTCTCATACTGCCTCTTTTCACCCTCTGTCTGAAACCAGAGCCTATCACGTACAATGTGTCGGAGCGATAGCCAAAAAAAGCATGAGTGTTGCATAGTGATGTCACTATGTTACAGAAGTAAACAAAGGAGTCCAATAAAGGAGTTTCAGGCACTGTACTGTGCGGGAGAGAAACTTAAGTAACACACTAGAGCAGGGGTTCCCAAAGTGGGGGTCGCGAGACGATTACAAAATAAAAATGGAAAATAAAAAAAAACAATACATAATAAAAAAAAATTAAATTATTATTATTAACAATAACGTT